AGAACTCCACCTGAGACCACCAAGAACTCCACCTGAGAGTCAAGATCTCCACCTGAGACCACCAAGAACTCCACCTGAGAGTCAAGATCTCCACCTGAGACCACTGAGAACTCCACCTGAGAGTCAAGATCTCCACCTGAGACCACCAAGATCTCCACCTGAGACCACCAAGAACTCCACCTGAGAGTCAAGATCTCCACCTGAGACCACCAAGAACTCCACCTGAGAGTCAAGATCTCCACCTGAGACCACCAAGAACTCCACCTGAGGGTCTAGAACTCCACCTGAGACCACCAAGAACTCCACCTGAGAGTCAAGATCACCACCTGAGACCACCTAGAACTCCACCTGAGAGTCAAGATCTCCACCTGAGACCACCTAGAACTCCACCTGAGAGTCAAGAACTCCACCTGAAATTCAAGAACTCCACCTGAGACCACAAAGATCTCCACCTGAGAGAGAACTCCACCTGAGACCACCAGGTGTCCCACAGTCTCTTACTATGTTGGGACTTGAAGTAAGAGCTGGTTTATGGAAGCTGCCATGTTGTATTTGTGGAACCAGAGTCTGCTCAGTACCTGTGTGAGGCTTGATGCCCCGCCCACTCTCCTGAAATCATGATGTCACCTGAACGATCTTTGTGTTTGTAAGAAAAAACAAACTGGCTGCAGATGAACGTCTTTAAAATGCACATTTAAACAAACAGCAAACTAAAACAACACCACCTGTGAGGTGTATCTGAGGTTGATGTGAGGGGGCGGGGCTTAGACCTGCTGGGACCGGTCTACAGGGAAACTGGTCCTGTCTTTGATCTGGACTCACCTCCTCTGTCTCAGTGACGACCAGCGCCGAGCCTCCTCCTCCTCCTGACTCCTCGCTCTGGTCTGGGACAGGCATCAGGTCTGAGGGGGCTTGGTTCTGATCCAGCCTGGAGTCTGATTGGAAACAAACAGAAGGAAACTTTTAGAACCTTGTGCAGTTGGTCTGAACCGAGCAGGGACTGTGGGTGGAGGACCTGATGTGGACTCTGATCCAAACACAAGAAGCAGTCGGTTAAAGTGATTTGGATCAAAGGTTCTGCAGAGTTTCTGCTGCTTTCCTACATCTATCAGGTGTTTCTCAGGTTTAACACCTCAGCCCAAAACAGACGGTGGGGTTTACTTCCTGGTTCTGGATCCAGCAGCTCTGTTCTCATGGGACCGAGCCGCAGCAGTTTGTGGTGAAGCTGTGACTTTGAGCCTCAGCTTGAAGCCGCAGTGCTCAGCGAGCGGAGAGCAGCTCCTCAGAATAAAAAGGTGTGATCACACCACGACCAGAACTTCCTGCCCCGGTCCTCCAGCTGCTCTCTGACCCACAGCCGAAGACCCGGAGCTCTCAGGTTTGTTATTCTGAGCGAGCATCAAACACACGGCTGCTCACGTCTCTGCTGTTCGCTCTGAATCCATCAGGTCCAGTTCCAGAACCATCTGTCTCCTTAAACATCGAGCTGCAGGCGGTTCTTTTATTCTCTCAACTCTGTAACATTATGCTTTTATTTTGAAAGTGTCCTGATGGAACTCACAGCTGGTTTCAGCAGGATGGTTTTGGTTCTATTTTCTGATTCATCAACATGTTTGACACATGGTTCGTTCAAGGACTGTTGGAAAATCCAAACCTCTGTGTTTCTATAGGTTCTGGTTCTGGTCCTGGTCCTGGTTCTGGTCAGGAGGTTTGTTCTGTCAACATTTAACCCTGAAAACTCAAAGTCTCACAGGTTCTGCTCACCTCTGTCTGAGTCCTGGGTCAGACTTTGTTCTGTTGGATCTTCTGCCCGGACCTGATCCTGATCCTGGTCCCGAGGAGGATCGTTGTGGTCCTCATCAGTAGCATCAGCTTCACCGTCTGAATTTACCAGCAGACTTGGCTCATCCTGGTCCTGTGTGAGACCTGTGGGATCAGGGTCTGGTCTTGGTTCTGGATCAACAGCTGAGGGGGACTGATCTTGTGTGAGACCCTCAGGATTTGGGTCTGGATCATCCTGCTGGGAAACACCATCCATGGTGGATCAGTTCTGAGTGACAGAGTCAGAACAAAAACCCAGAAATAAAACAAACAGAAACAACAACAACAACAACAACAAACAACAACAACAAACAACAATCTGATGCTTCTTTTTCACCAAAGGTTCATTTCCTTTAGTAAAGTAATTTACCTCTGAGCATCACACTGCCTTCAAAATAAAAGTTCTCTATTTTTTATTGAAAATCAGTAAACATATAACTTTATAAAATGTTGTGACTCAGTGTTTGTTTGGTGACGCATAAACAACAGTAAAACAAACAGGAAGTGTCAGCGTGCAGCA